ACTGGTAATGGTTAGGTTTAGGGTTAGGTATGTACTGGTAATGGTTAAGTTTAGGGTAAATGTCAGGGTTAGGCTTTAGAAATATATAAAAAGTGAATGGAAGATAATGCAAAGTCCCCATAAAGATAGCAAAACAAACATGTGTGTGTGTGGTGGTGGTGGTGTGTGTGTGTGTGTGTGGGGTGGGGGTGTTGAACAGATTTTAATGGACCTCTCGAATGTAATCCCTTATTTACATTCACAACTCTTTAAGTTTTGGAATCGACCATACGCAGGTAATCGACATTAACTTGTGCAAATACGGTGACGTTTTAGTCGTTTACAGATATTGAGCTAAAGTTTGATGTAGTTGTACCTGAGAGTCATATACAACAAATACACCAAGCACCAGCACATCTTTCATGATTTCATATTATTGCACGAGATCACGCAAAATGTTATTTCTATGTTTGTGTCCAATTCTTCATGTTTGTTGTTAATTTTGTTAATGATGCTACTGTTTTTTTGCTACTGTCTAGACTGGACTATAGACTGGTTTATTATCTGGGTGTCCAAATACTTCTTTAAAACGTCTTCAGTTAATCCAAAATGCTACTGTCCAAGTCTTATTGGCGTTAGTAGAAGAGATCATATATCTCCAGTTTTAGCTTCTCTCCATTGGCTCCCTGTCAAATCCAGAACTGAATTCAAAATCTTACAAAGCTCTCAACAGCCTAGCTCCATCTTATATTACAGATCTTATTGTCCCATATTTCCCTAACAGAGCACTTCCCTCTCAGACTGCAGGCTTACTTGAGGTTCCTAGAGTTTCCAAGAGCAGAATAGGAGGAATATCTTTCAATTATGAGGCTCCTCCTCTCTTGTGGAACCAACTTCCAGTTTCTGTCCGTAAGACTGACACATTGTCCAATTTTAAGACTGGACTTAAGACTGTACTTTTTGATAAATCCTACAGTTAGGGTTGGCTTGTTATGCTGCCATAGGCTTCGACTACTAGAGGAAATATTGACCTCATTTCTTAAAATGAATTGTTACAATTGAATAGTTTGCATTTGAAATTATTTCTATCTAAACATGTGATTCTTGACCTGCCATTGTGTATCTGTTCCTCCTTCCTGTCTTCTCAAACTCAGCTGGTCAAAGCAGATGACCGCTTGTCCTGAGCCTGGTTTCTGCTAAAGGTTTCTTCCTCATGAGGGAGTTTTTCCTTTCCACTGTCACCTTTGTGCTTGCTCAAGATAAGCGTCTGCGATCAAGTTAAACGCAAAGTAGTCTGCTCCTGAGATAAATATTGTCATTAACTTAATTTATATACAAAGTATATATATATATATATATACAGTATATATATATATATATATATATATATATATATATATATACATACATATATATACATATATACATACATATATATATATA